TAACAGCAGCAAAATTACAGTTATGAAGTAGCAATGAAAATAATTTTATGGTTGGGGGGTCACCACAACATGAGGAACTGTATTAAAGGGTCACGTCATTAGGAAGGTTGAGAACCACTAGACTGGGGTATCACACGGTCTCAAGGCAAAGGATCCGATGCAGAAGCCAACGGAATGATCTGGCCCCTACCTCAAGACTACCTAGACCTTGACTTTGAATATAAATACTCTGACAAGGGAGTACGCAATAGAAGGCCACCTCAAGACCGTGAAAACTTGGGTGGAACCCCTGGTTTACTGGGTGTCCAATGAATGGGGACCCAGAGCCATCATATATTTCTTAGCTCAGTGCTCCCCTTGCATTACGATGGTAGCTGGTAATCATAAGGATCTGCACTTCCATGGCAGGACACTGGCAAACGTCCCCTAGACCCAACACCCATGCTTAGTGTAAACAGAGCTCAATCAATTCAGAAATCGATCTGTACAAAACAACAACTCACGTTTGACTCACAGTTGGACTGGACTGGCATCAACTCCTCGTTTCAACAGTATCTTAAATTCTCTGTCATTGGAAAAACTACTGATGTTACCAATGTAGTCACCTTAGACCCAAGGAAGATGATGGACATTGCTTCGTTAGTTTTTTGCTTTTCTGCCTTTTGTTTTGATGTTGTTGTTGGGTTTTGTTTATGTCATAATATGACCAGCAATGTAAACCAGAGTCATTCATAATCAGAGTACAAGCAAGTGAATTCTGGGCTCCCACGTACTTGTAGCCCAAATCCAAGAACAGTTAGTTCTTAACACATGGCCCTGCTTGCTACTTGCCTTCTTGAAGACATCTCTGAACATAAAGGTGCAAAAGTCAAGCGTGAAGAAGAAGGCAGATGGTGCCCGGCCATCAATTGGAAGAGCGTCAGGGAACTTAGAAGCTTTCCTGCAAACAGGGAGCCATCTAAGTGAGAAGGCAACTCAAGTGCACACTGAAGAAGCACAGCAGCCTGTGTAATCCAAAGACAAAGATAACAAAATCCAATGAAAGCACCAGAGTTTAAATCGTGAACACCCAATTCGTAGAGGGTTATGGAGGACAGCGGTAGCCCCCAATCCATCTTCAGGGTGTGTAGTCAGATTACCTCTCAGTGAGATCCTCGCTAGCCACAGGGCAGGGGCGCACCAAGCTTTATTGCCAGATTAAGATGACCATAAATTTGATTACAGTGAGTCGAACCATGGCGTGTAACATGATAGTCGGTCAGTTGACTGCTCTCTGGACCCATTCTGAATGTACTCTAGTCTCGAGTGTTTTTTATTGTTCCAAGACAGAAAGTTCTTCTGTGACCTCTTCCATATTGATGGTGGTCGTTTTTTCTCACTCTTCATTTTTATTATGTTTGTTTATATTATCATTGTTTTCTCCTTGCTGTTTTGTTTTGTTTCTTGTTTCTGTTGGGTTTTCTAGTTGGTGAAGCACAAGAGTGGGTTCATAGAGACTATACTGATGCCATG